TAGACGGACTCACAGACAGGTAAACGGACTCACAGACAGGTAGATGACACTGAAGCTCGTCTCTTCAGCTGTCGGTCAGTTCCTCCTCATACTGTAAGACCACTTTACCTGTCTGTCTGTAGGAACCCTCAGGATGAGACACACTGATGCTCTAACCGTCTGTCTGACTCTTAATGTATGTGTGTTGTTTTTCACGTGTTGTTTAACACCTTAATTATATTAACGGATTATCACCTGTCGCACTCTCACTGACACACACACACACACAAACACCGGGGTCAAAGGTCAAACAAGTTTTTTTTATTCCAGAGAAAGCTGGCAGCTGATTGGTCAGCTGAACAGGAAAAGGGTAAACATACAAACAGTCACATGATCAAAACAACCGTCCAACGGGCCAATGGGAGGGGAGTGTGGTTACCATGGCAGCAAGGAGCAGCTGCAGGTTTAAAGTGACAGAGTGACAGTTTAACGTCTCAGAGACTGTTAGCACTATTAGCACTGTTAGCATTCCTCATTCAAACCAATGGGCTGTGTTAGCTTCAAGCTAACATGTAACTATTGATCATTTTACTTGCTTTAATACGTTTGAACAGCAATCAATCTCTCTGATTATCAGTTGGGAAAGGAATTTGGTGGCTGATGTTTGCATAGATACTGAGTGTGATAATAGTGCAAGAGAACAGCTGCTGAAGGAAACACCAGGAAACACTGAGCATTCAGCTCCGGTGGGATTTGTAGTTTTTGTTTGATTCCTCTTGTTCATAAAGCTGGAGGACTAAATCCAGTCTGATACAGGTCAGAGTGCATACGGAGGTCAGAGGTCGTTCATGTAATACCTAAAGGATTAAAGACGTCCCAGCATCCCGAGTTTAGTGGGAGGAGCTTCTGATAGACTGTGGATGTCCTCCATCACTCACACTGAATACTTTATGATGAAACGTGCATGTAAAGGTGGTCAGTATGGCTCGGTGCAGGGTTCCCACGGCTTCTGCAGAGCATCAATAACAGTTCAAATAAAGCTGAATTCATCTTCTAACCTATTAGAGGAAATGTATAAAGCATCAGTGTTTGTTACACGTTGCATATTAACAATTATCAGTGTAAATAAAATACTATTAAAATAATCCAGGACAACAGAGATTTAGTCATTTTAATCAATTTCCAGGTCTCTCCATGACTGTTGAGGGGGGGTTAAGGGAACCCTGCCGGGGTTTGGGGAACCTCTGTTGTGCTGATGGATTATTTTTATTGTCTGTTCAGAGACTGAAGGTGTAAAATATGTCAGTTATTACTCCAGGAAGGAAACAAAAACTCAGATCTTTAGTGAAGTGCTTTCTGTTCAGGTGTAACGTGTGAACGTACATCAGAAACTCACAGGTACAGCAGAGCGGACAGGTGAGGCAGCGTGCTGTCTGACAGCTGGGGGGCGCTACAGGGAACTACAGGAGCCTCTGACTGTTTCACATGTCAGAGAAAAAGAAGAAGAAGAAGAAGAAATATTTGACAGAACAGAGACATAAACTCCATCTACTGTCAGTCTGAGAATATACAGACCATAATAAGACTAAATATTCATATAACACTGTGTGTGTGTCTGTGTG